CCAATATGCAATGCCCTCAGGAGGCTCATTTGGCAATTTTTCAAAATTATTTTGATCTTATTTAGAGAATTAACTTTGATTTGAAAAAATTATTCTATAGCATTTGATAACATTAACTGTATTGTTGATTACAGTGTAATAAGTTATTGATCACAATGTAATAAGTGATGTGCTTTCCGTGTTTTCATATACAAACAGGCAGGATTCAGCATTTCAGTACCAATATCCAAATGATAACCATGATCACATTGTTTTCTATTGTATTGTTTTCTATTGTATTCCTATTGTTTCTATTGTATTTCTATTGTCTTTCTATTGTATTCTATTGTATTGGTATTGTATTCATATAAAGTTATTAATAATGATCATAGGCTGGCATAGCATCAGGATTAAAAAACAATCTCCTTTAGCTTGAAAGAGATAACAAGTAAACTCTCTGCACATTTAACAATCAAACTCTGAAATTTCTACACATTTATTTAATCCTGGAAAACATGGACTTTTCTTTGCAAGGATTGTTACTTTGCTTTTGGGTCAGAATTGTATGAAATTTGAAAAGTTGTATCATGAAGCTCTAGATACAGTGTTCCTTTTGAGCATTAGTTAGAAAAGCCAAGAAACAAATTTTATGCCTTTACAGTGCATGTTTGGATTTTCTGTTAGAATCTTTATTAAACTTTATAAATAACTCCATTATTGTCTGAGAGTTCATTAATTATTAAAAAGTGATCATCTTTATGAACTTATTTTTAAATTATATATATATATATATATATATATATATATATATAACCTAGCTTATTAATATATATATATATATATCTACTAATCAGAGCCTAGAATCATCAACAAAAGCCATACAAAACATCCAAAGAGTTTAAGTAGCAGATTTACTGAGCTTCAGTCAGCTTCGGATGTGTTTCTTGATTTTGCTTCTTTTTATCAAAATTCTAAATAACAACTAAAAAATAAGGGTCAGTAAAGAATCATATAAGAAAAATGTTACACATTTATGCTTCAATGTTACACTGGAGAATGATACAGGAGGGCTATAAAATTACATTCTTGACTTTTATTTCTCTCTTCAGTGTGGTAGTTGCAATAGTGAAACAGGAACTTCGACATCATGTATAGGTGGGTCAACACTGAGGAGATCTCAAGAAGTTCACCAAGTGTTGGTTATTTAAGTGCCTATGAAGAATGATTTAAGATGGCTGTAGATTCACAATTCTGACTTAAGTTCTCTATTGAATGAGATAAATGCAACAACAATCTAGGAATTTTCTGATTCTGCATATATGAGTGAATCCACTCTGAAGAGATGTTCAATTTGTAATATACTTGTATCAGAACTTCGATTTTAAATTTAGCATTATGCAACAAAATATCTGGCATTTTTTTTTCATTTATATCCAACTTTAAAAATTTTTTGGAATGTTAGAATTTTTTTAAAATTTGTACTTAAAATGATTAATCCCTCTATGGTATATGCTTGTATAATTTTTCAAATATACTGTAATACCAGATAAATATTAGTATTGCTCTCTTATATTTAAAATTCAGGACAGAGAATAAAGCATTTGTCTTGGTTTGAAAGTGAACTTCTCACGATAATTGTTTCTTTGGTCACTTCAATAATGTTTCACAGGTCATTGGCGACATCACCTCGACAGAAATTAAATTGTCTAGAACCTTGAGTAGTGGTTTAGAAGGTTTCACTCCACTGTTAAGTGCAACAGTTTCTTTCTAAAAGTGTTTTATTAAATTGTTAGAATTACGGTTAAATTCTGTTAAATAAAAACTGTTTTTAGAAATTTTGAGTAACCATGTAAGTTTTGAGCATAAACTATTTGCACACTCATCTACTTGCAGTATGTAAGATTTTATTTTAATTAACTGAGTCATTATTATGTTGGCTTAACCATAACTTCTGCTTTGGTCTGCAAATTAGTTTAATGTATCAATAAGCTTCTAATTGCTAAGTTTTGCACACTGTTGGCCAAACAGTTTGTTTAAATTTCTGTTTTGTTGTAGCACAGTTACCAGCATAAGTTTCTGCTAGCTGTGATTTCTTTATGAATGCTTAATCAGGGTCAGCTAATCTTTAAGTTAGACATGTTAATTTTGTATTTTGCATATAATTCAATTTGAAGGTGTGTTATGGTTACCTACAAGCTAGCAGAGTTTAGTTTGTGTGATCATCAAAGTGATGTGTTAATGAACAGTTTTATTTTAAACTTTTCCTTTAGTTGTGATATTTTTAGTTAGTCACATGAGACAGAAAGTCATCCAGCAGCTGTTTTCTGTGGTTATTTAGAAATGCATTGTTACTTTGAACTTGTATATTGTAACCATACAAGTAATCTTTTAATCTCATACTTGCTTGATTCACTTCAAGTCTCTCTGAAGCACTTAAATGATCAACAAATGAAGCTGTAGGTGACGGACAGATTCTCAATGTGCTACTGAGCCTCATTAAGGAAAAGAGAAGATATACTAACTATTTTGCAAGTTTATTGTTTGTTTGAGTGTTAGATGTATTTCACTATCTCCAGTTCTTAAAATTTATTGCATTATTCCTTCAAAAGAATTGCAGTAGAAGACTAGAAATCCGCAGTGCTTGTGACAAGATGTGCAGATTTTAGGATTTTGTGAATTTCAGGACAAAAAGGTAAATCGTAATATTCAGACTAAAAGTGCAAAATAAATAAGGACATTAAGGACACATATAAACACTGACATAAAAATATATGAAAAAAAGGGTTATTAATAAAGCTTAAAATATTTCAGTTTTTTGGTACTTTTCCGTTAGTCTATTAAATGCTTCTTTTTTTTTTTCCCTTTCCTCCCCTTTTTTTGGCCAACAATTGTCCCTAAGTATAAAATTATAAAATAATAATAAAGTTATAAAGACAAAAAAAAAAAAAAAAAAAAAAAAAAAAAAAAAAAATAGTTCTTTAAAAAGTAAACTTTTTAAAATTTCCTAATTTCTAAAGGAAGTAAATTTTTCTTTTTAATTCTTTAATCTATAATATTCTACACATAAATAAAAAATAACAAACAAAACTAAATTCAATCTAAACAGGTGGCATAAAATGACAAATATTGTTCAATATTGCAGAAAAAATCTCAGTTTTTGAATATAACTTACGGCATATGAATTCTATCAAATATCATTCTAATTAGTTACAAGCAGTGCCCAGCTGATGTTTATTTCTCCATTTAGCACTGCCCTGCGCAGTCGCTCCATAGTTTGGATATGGTATCTAGTTTCGAAGTCTACAAAATTATAATTATGATTTGCAGTAAAATGTTTATACCCAGCATTTCTTATATCCTTTCTGGCAGTCTGAAAATATAATGCTGCCATCCGTGATGTTTCCTGAATAACAGTCATCAATGTGCAACGATTGGGAACGGCAACCAGAAAGCATTCTCTACTTTCCCATCATAAACCTCCAAATACCCATTGTTCCATAAGAAAACATCCAACGTTGTTTTTTTCATTTTGTGAAAAGACTTTAAAGTAGCTATTCCAATCTATTGTTGTATTATGGCTGATTTCTAACTGAAGTTAGCAAAATTCAATCAACATCAATTCAATCTTTTTTTTTTTCTTCACTGCAAAAACATGCATAACAACGCCATATAGGAGCTTTGTTTGAGTTAAAAAGTTATTTCATCGGATGATTTTGAGAACAAAGTTTATTGCTATGAATTATTCCTTTGTCCTGAAAGAATCTCATGACAGCTTCTTCATCATTAGGTAACTGCCAAATCGTGTAATCCATCATACACACACCACACACACACACAAACAAAAAAAAAAAAAAAAAAAAAAAGGGCAAAAAAATAAGGAATAAAGTTATTTCAAATGTTAAATTCTCGAGCCACAATATTTGGCATGTTGTTGTAGCATTGTTTTCTTTTAATTTTTTCTTCATTTTTAACTGATGCCACATTAACAGAATAGTACTTTTTTTTTTTTTACAGATAAAGGCTTGTTTTAAAACTTTAGGCTGCTCCAAATTTTTTTTTTAATGAATTATGTCGAGTAATAATCTCTAGTTCTGTGACACAAATCTGTTTTGAAGATTTGAAATATTTCTGCCCTGTTCCATACCTTCCTTAAAAGATATTTTCTCACTCCTATCAATTTCACTATCCATGTTCATGTCGGAATAATTTTCTTGCTGTGTCAAATTCAAAACAGAGCTAATACTTTCACATCTGTCATATGATAAGCCAGTATTGGCTTGCCTGGGTCATCTGTCATATGATATGCCAGTATTGGCTTGTCTGGATATATCATCCATTTAATATCTTCTTCTTGCAAAGCGTCCTCATTTTTTCTTTTGTTCAAAGACAGAACCAGTTCTCTTGCTTTAACCTTTCCTGCACTGATCCTAAAACCAGAAAATTCACTGTCATCGCCATCAGTTTCAACAAACAGGGAAGATAACCATACATTACACCAGATATTTATTAATGTTGTTTGGGAAATAATTCCATGATTCTGCTAACAAACAGATGTAGTCTTTGAGGCTGAAGTTTTTTCTATAATTACAAATTGAAATAGAATGAAAAAAAGAACCACGAGATTATCATACTTTAAAATGGCTGCATTTGGGTGTGCAGTTGTCTAACAATAGTAAAATCTTGCAATTTGATGGTAACCGCTCACTGTTGCAATGCCTTCTAAGCTCTTTAATGAAATGTTCCATTAATCATTCGATCATAAGTTGTTTCATGAACCAGGAGTTTTATTATTCCTGTAAATCACAGGTAAGGAACCATGAACATTACTTAACCATATTGCAGTTTCCTGATAACTGTAAAATGAGTGTTTACATTTTGAGAGGTTGCACAGATTTCGGGTCATCATGTTTTTGGGGGTTTGAATGTATTTCATTCAAAAATAAATACATTTTTCTTATTTTTTTTGGTATGCTTTAATTACTGTTCATATTGAATAGTTTTATCTTTATTAGAATAGATACATGTTTATGTGGTATAATGTAGTTCAGTTTATTAAAACAATAACATATTTTTCTATTCAAGGAGTATCCTGTTCAAGTTTTGATGTTATTTCGGACAGCCTGGGAAATAATCGGGCTGATCAGTATCCTTTAGCAATGACTTTGGTTGGTGGGACACAAGTGGAAAATAAATTAGGTGTCATGAAAATAAGCAATATCAATCAGACAAAGCTACCAAAAGAGGAGGATGATGATGAGGATGAAGAAGAAAGTGAATCTGATAGTGAGGATGAAGATGAAACTGAATGCAATGTAGAACTTGTTGCCGTTCATCACCCTGGCGGTGTGAACAGAATTAAGGTTTGTATAATAAAGCATTTTTTCCTGTACTAATTTGTTTATAAAAGATTCTCATATTATGAACAGTTCAATGTGTTTATATATGAAATTTTTTTGTACTGAAAGAGCTTGACTATCTAGGATGCTTGAAAAATGCTGAATGCCTATAAATGAAAATTCCGATAGTTGAGCATATAAAAATTACAGATCAATCTAGAAAAGCTAAATAATGTCAAAAAATTTTTGGTCTAAAATTAAAGAAAAGTTATCTTATTTCTTATCAGCTTGAATATCAGAAGCTTAAATTTAATATTTTATAAGATTAAAAAAATTCATTTCAGACATAAAAGCCAACATAGTTTTGTAGACCTTAAACATAGGAAAGTAAAACACCAAACCCAGTTTTGAAAATCTGTTGATCATGAAAAGTAGCAGAGATCCTGCCAAACTTGTCCTTCAGGCAATCGTTCCAACGGAAGTTTGAAAGAACTCACTGCTGAATTAGGTAACTATGAGATACAAATTATGGATACAGCATATAAAAAACTGAAATCACTTGCCCATAATTTTTGACTATGCATCGTGCTGATGCATTGCCAAAAATTATGGGCAAGTGTATTATGGGCAAAATTATGTTTATCCATTTTAAAATAAAATCACTTATTGTGCCCATTCATGCGCACATTACTTGGTGCCAAGATTCTGTAATTTTTTAAATACCATTGAATGCTTTTCCATTTATGGCATGTTCCAAATTTTAATCATTGTTTAAAAATGTAAAGGAAGAAATGATAATCAGTAGTTAACTTATATCATTCTTCACAAAAACTAAACTTGCTTATTGAGAATTAATTGGGTTTACATAATATCAGGTATCTTATGATTATATTGTGACATCATGCTTATCCTTTATTGCTGTTAAATCACACTGGTTGGTGACATTTTTGATTGATATGAGTGTGTTTTATGATGTCTTTAAAATATCTCATTTGCTTTATTTTTCATAAAAAAAATGAGGGCTTTAAAATTTGAAAATATTCAGTTGCTTGACTTTTCCAGTAAGTTAAAAGCCAGTTAATCAGGCTTTTACTATACTATTTTTTTAAGCAACTTGTCAAGTAAAAATGATATAATTTTGGCTTAAGAAAGTTTAGTTTGTTCACAAGAGTTATAAATAGCTATGTAAAGAAAACTGATTAAATGGTGATCAATGCTTGTTGGTAATTCATTCAATATCTATACTAATGAAACGCAGTTTATTTACTATATACGTACAAAAGCAATTTAATATAAATTTTTATTTATTTTGTATTTAAACCTTTCCAGACAATGCGCCTTTGTTTAAGACACTCCTTCGGGACAAATGGGAGACAAAGAAATTATCCCAGAGGATGGATTTTTGCATTCACTAAGCCTGACTTTAAGTGGGCAGTTTACGTTTTATGGTCATAATTTTTTGTTATTGTTTAAGCTATCATATATGGTAAAATTAGCATTTAATAATCTTTTTACTTTACATGAAGATATTTGAAAAAAATTGCTTACTTTGAGAAATAATTTTCAGAAGCACTATTCAAATTATTCTAAAGTTTTAACTGATAAAATACATTACTAAACTAAATTTAAAAAATACATGAAAAACTGTTTACAAGAAGAAGTAACAAAATCTTTCATGTGAACTGTGAAGCAGACATTCAGCAGTGTCTGACAAAATGTCCATATGAGAACCATTAGAAATATTGCTGTCTAACTCTTTAGAATATGAATCATGACTCTCGTTCACGCCATTAATCGGCTAATTTACCATGCGAGTATATCCTTCATCTGATAAATAACGCTTACATTATTTCATAATAAACTGAAGTCAAGGCTTTCTGAAATAAAAGGAGAAGTACGTGAAATATAATTTATAAAAGGAATGCAAAGCTTAATAGAACCCCACACAGTAGCAAAAAAAGAATTCAAAGGGATATCAAAAATGCAAATGTTTATATCTCATGGTAAGTTGAGACATTTATTTACATTATGCTGCTTGTTTATATTACGCTCTTCCCCTGCAACAGCTGACACCAGCATTATGCAGAATGTGATCAAATTGAAGGTCAGGATCCTAACACTATATTTAGTTCAAAAGTAATGGACACGAGACGCCATCTAGTGGTCTTTCAAATGTTCCAGGAGACTGGCATAAATGTATGATGGCCAAGGGTAAACAAGAAAGGCTCTGGGATGCTGGCTGGGAAATGAGTGCTTTTCTTGCTGATAAGCATATGTGACAGTTGATGCGAAAGAGCTAATACAGTTTTCTAATATATTTAACGAACAGCATTATAAACATACCTCATAACTGCCATCTCTCCCAGTTTTCCATCTTCTGTCCTGGTCTCCTAATAGATCACCAAATCTTCTAGTTTTTAATTTTTAGCCTTTAATTATGAAACTGTTTTTTTTTTTTTCTCCAGCAATAAATGAAATTGTGCAGATTTCACTCCACCTCTAGTGACTTTTTTAGCAGTATTTTTCTTACTAAATTTTATATCTTCTGAATTATCTTAATTTATTGTAGATACTTGTAGAACTTTATATGAAAATTCAGCTAATGTTGAATCAGTTCATATTTATTTAGTTTTGTTTTATATCAGTATGTGACATATTATTAAGTTTATCCTCACAATAATATGTATATTAATGATTAAAATTTTGTTTTCACTGTATTTAAAAGGTCTTTGTAAATTAAAGCTTTTTTTCCCTACTCAGAATTTCCTCAGCTCAAATTAGTAATATAATTACAAAATAAAATTAATCAACAAACATAAAATTTAGGCTTTCTAATTTAACTATTATTATATTTTACATCAGGATCATATTATAAGTAGTTGAACAACCTGAATTATGCATTGTATAGCTAATTTAAGTCAGTGTGAGGATTTTTTTGAATTGGCATCATCATGAAGTGCAAAAACATCCTGGAATCTCCCGGTTCCAGGATGTTTTCATTTTTCAAAGTTGATAATTGAAAATTCATTTTTAACAAACATTATTAGCTGACCACAACTCAGTAGTTGCTGTTAATAATGCATCAAAGACATCCTCACAGTCAGCAGGAATTATGCCTGCTGACTGTGAGGAACCTAAATAGGAATTATGCTGAGTAGATGTAGCTCTGTGGTTTTGGTTTCACGATTTTGCCAATTCTAATAAACATTCTACTTTCTGGCTACATCTTTTTCTGTTGAGGACAGTTTAAAAATAGTTAGTATATTATGGAGTCAACAACAAAAAATTTTATATTTTAAAATAGCAAAATTTTGTAAGAAAAGTTGCTTAAATTTGTCTGAAAAGTCACCAATAAGTAACTAATTTTTCACCAACCTAAAATGTGAAAAGACAATAGCCATTTTCAAAAATGACTCCTCACTAAGAATAACATTAAACAACAGCAACCAATTAACAAAATTAAAAGTGCAAGAAACATCCATAATAAAATACATACCTTTTTCTTCTGCTGTTATGCCTATGTGCACTGCAATCTGTTAGCTTAAAAAAACAAAGAACTGCAGAAACTTGGCATCATGCAAAACTGTCACTGCACATACTGTTTTCCAAATTTCTCAAATTGCAGCATTGGCACACAAATTCAATTATTTATAAAGTGCAGTTTCATAGAATGCAAATGTTTGCATTCTGCATCATTAGGCAAAATGTAGTATTTCTGAAAAAATGCACCACTTTCTTTTTCATCAGCCAGAAAACTCCATCATTCCATTACGAATCCAACAAGGAGCAAAAATGCACAAACTCATCAAACACCAACTAGAATAAGCATTAATCAGAAAAATTACAATTTGAAAAGACAAAAATCTATGCTTGTGTGCTGTGTATGTCTATATGTGATTTGCCATATAAATACCTTTTCATGAGTCTCGGTTGCTTATCTTATAGCACATATACATATCTTGAACCTATATAGTGCATCACCTGATGAACTCTTTTCAGAATTAGTCATATAATTAGAGAATATTGAAAATTTTCACAACATGAAGAATGTGAAATCTTGTACATATACGTAAATCAGTTAATATTTATATTATCAGTTATATTATATTTAATCAGTTTATTTAGAATGCTCTGAGTGCAGACTTCCTGCAGGTGAGTGTTTCAATCTATTACTAACTATTTGGCCAGCCTTATTCAGCTGTTTTTTCTTTCCCATTCAGCATATGTTAATTCCTCTTGCCCAGTTGTGAATGAACAGGAGGGCAGTCACAAATGGGCTTCTGCAGCTCTTGAATTCATCTTTTCAAAAATCCAAGGAAAAAATATGTCAAAAACAGTGCATATATGTGTATATATCTTTATGTCGTGAAAACGAAAGTTGGCTTATCGAGAATTGGTCAGGGTTACATCAAATGAAAATGCAGATCATATGGGATCTTGTGATGTCAAACCAATTCGTAATTGTTGCTAAATTGCACTGCAGGGCGGTACTTTCATAGCCAATAGGATATTGCATAACTACTATTTCTTAATATCGGCAGTGCATTTCAGTTTATATGCATCAATAATTAAAAACCGGTAGATGCGTGCTATCCTATCGACTGTTGGAGGAAATATTGGCAATGGTTGCTATTTGTTACTGCAGAATTGTAAAGGAAGTGAGTTGTTCATAATTAGCACTAAGTCTCACTACTTGGCTGGTTGATGGTATAATATGTACCTAAAAATCATACATATTTTTAATGCAGTGTGCTTCTGAAAAGAGGTCAAGATATGAAGACTTGACTAAAAACTAATCATTTAATTACATTATCCTTTCCTTTACTTCTAGTAAATAAGTAAAAAATTGTTACTGAAATTTAATACTAAAATTTATTATAATAATATATTAAATTAAAAAACCTTTTAATCAATTAACTTATGAATAGTTAATATTATATTAATAAATTTTTAATAAAATTTTTTAATGGTGAATCTGAAGTCTTCCATCTCTGTTGCATTTACAGAAATGGAAGCACATTATTAGCACATTAGAACAAAACTAGCACATTCCCTCAAGTGTTAATTTGTTAAATAACCATCATTATTAATTTAAACAGATTATAAAATACTGACTATTAGATGTTATATTCACTAATAATTTTGTGTGACTATATAATTAAAGTGTGTGTAAATACATTCAAGTACAATTTTGATTAAGTTTTATGAATTGTTTGTTTGTATTTATAATATTGCAATTTGTTTACATTGTTTTTTAGTTCATAAATTGAGAACATGTAAGTACTGCAACTTTATTTATTTGAAGTATACACTGCTTATCACTTTCTAAATTACTAATGTATGAGCTTGCATTTTATGTACTATATTTACAAAAAAATTTCATTTAGGTTACAAAATTTTCTGACAAAGTTATTGCTGCTTCTTGGTCTGAGAAAGGTAAAGTTTATGTCTGGGACTTAACCCTTCCGATAAATGCAGTTAATAACCATCATGTTATGAAGTCCTATATTCAGAATTCTGAAAGTCCACAACCCATTTTTTCATTTGCTGGGCATTTAAGTGAAGGGTTTGCCATGGAGTGGTCACCATTAGTTCCAGGTACATTTGTATCATATAGTATTTTCCTTTATTTGTGTTATATTATTATGCTGCTTTATGCTTTGATAGTAGCTAATTTTTATTTGAAAACTGGATCAAGAAGTGAAAAGTTTGGTTACTTCTTTGTTATAGCACCTCCGAAGTTTGAATTGGCAATCAGCCGAGATATCTCACCAAAATCTGGCTTCGTATACTTATACTTTACCATGCTATCGTATAGTAGCAACTTGTTGCATTATTGTTTTCACCGCATGTTCTTATATTATTAATTTTTGATGAGGTTTTTGAATTCGCATTGTTTATTTAAAAAAATATTTTTGCATATTTTTTAAGAATCTGATGTTAATCTTTAATTTATCAAGTAATAAAGTGTATGCCATATAATTTTTTCAAGAAAGAGATCTTTTATCTGACAAACGAGTATGTGAAAATTGCCACAACATGAAACTTTATGTTAATGATAAAACCATTTGGAAGTGCGGTGTTAAAAATCACAAAAAGAAGAAGAACCTGCATGTTGGAAATTAGTTCAGCGGTTCAGAATATTGTTCATCACTGCTATTAAATTTATGTAATCTTAGGCAGAGGAGTTGATGTAAATGATATGGTGTAACAAACAGCTTAAAATGTGTGAATATGTTGCAGTTGACTGGAATAATTACATACCATTAAATAATAATAATAAGGGTAAAAATTATTAAACATATTCTTAGGAAATTACTTGTAAGTATATATTGTGTTGTTTCGTTTTTTGACGTTCGTGCTTCACGAGCTTAGGCAAAATTATAGCTGAGATCTTGGTGCAAATCTGAAATCCCAAATATGGTTGAAGGCTGCCATAAAAAAGGAGTACCAAATTTTGTATAATAAATTTTGATGTTTATATGAAGTAAAACATGAAATATTTACTTTAAGAAAATATATTCTGCAAAATTATTTTAATTTATTTCGTCTAGCAAATCTTTATATGTAAGGATGTTTGTTTGTATATTTATTGACAGACCTTTGTGCATAACAAAAATTGAAGGACAGATTTTAAAACTTAATGACTGGTTTTAAAATGTGCATAAAGCTATGGTGAAATAAAGTACTTCATAAAGCTGAAAGGAAGTTTTTAATAATTCAAATTTCATTTACCCAGAGCTAGTTGACAATTCGTAAAATTGTGTAAATGTAAAAATATATAAAGCCTTATTAATATGTAAACATGATAAAAAAAGAACCAAGTTTAAAATTGTAAATTTGTATGCATATTTATAATTATTAATATTAAATTATAAGAAAGTGGGTAACAGTATTGTTTATAGTTTATCCATTGCACATTACGGAATTGCAACCTCATTCACCAAAACTAACACTCTAGAGTACTTTAATGTGAATTCATTGCTGATATCAGAACCAAAATTCTGCAAGTGGTTCTTATATTGTTTTCTTGTGAAAGGAGAAAAGACTTGGAATTTGAGTAAATCTTTCAGAATGCTGTTATGCCTAGATGGAATTTAAGTTGCGCTCAAATGACAAAATGGAAAATTTATGGTTTTGTGGAACCACATTTAGTTCAGTGAAGTGTAGTAGTTTTATATAACTGTTAGTCAGCTGAAGTTTTCTAGAGAAGTACTGAACTATGCTTCTCGATTACTGCCATCAGAAAAAATAAGCTAGATTTTGGTACATGAATGAAAATTTAGTCATATCTTGAAAATTTTCCATGCCTGGTGATGATGGCTAAACTATTGAACAAGAATTTTCATCAAATTGTGTCTTGAATTATTCGGATACAATGGCTTTGTTAAGAAAATCATTGTTGACACAAATGAAATCCACAAAGGACTATAGATGGATATTATCTACCACTTCAGTTTAGCAATTCATATTTAATGACATATTAAACAAAACCAAATGACACAGATCATGCTGTTATCCCAACCATTATGGAAACACCATAAACTTTCAAATGTTTTTCAACTATTTTGAATCCATGGCCTTTTTGATTTAATGTAAAATGAATAAGAGTTCTTGACCTTGTTCAAAACTGTCAGCTTGTAATCATTCAACTACTGTGATTCATCAGACCTGATTAATTTTATTTAGCCCTATTGAATTTAGTTAATGAGTACATGTGCTCATGTGAGATACTGTGTGAGATGACCAGCAAACGCGCTATTATAGATCTCATTAATGTTAAATTTTGCTGTTTTGACTTTATGTAACCTCTTGTGCTTCCTATATTGAATATAAATGTTAATTAATGTGGTGTCACTTGTCTGTTACCACAGTTTGGGTCAGATAGTTTGGATTTCAGTAATTAAGCATGTAGAGTCTCGTATTCTTTGGCAACATAAAGCTCTAGAAATATAGCTCTAGAAAGGCTGTAGAGGAATTATCCCCCAGTCTTAGGATACACACAAACTCAGGAGAAGAGTGTAAATGACCCTTTATTCAATCGCAAAGAATTTCACAGATAACTCCTCTTGGGTTTACATAAGCCAACATTTCTAGCTTAACAAAATTTGAATGTTTAATTTTTTGGGCCTGAACTATCATTCCACTTTCAAGATTTGATAATCATATTGGATGCAGTTTGGCAAGACTAACAAGATTACACACAAAGGTAATACTGTTGGTATTTATATTAACTGAGTCTGTGATTATGGCTGTAACTAATAATGCTGTTAGTATTTATGCAGGCTTAATTTATTTGCAGTAAATTTAACACATTTATGTCCTCTGAATTAAACCTTTAATTTATCACTTAAAAATTAAACAATATCAAATGCAATATTGTAATAAACAAGGAAAAAAGACAGATACTGAATAATAATAATAATATAAAATAATAACTGACAAATTTTTCCATAAATTTACAACAGTTTATCATACATATTTTTGTTTCTTTAATTAAAAGAATTGTTTTCCATAGCTTGTCAGAAACGACTTTTAACCCCTTAATCCAAATAAGCTTGGTTATGCTGAAATTAATTTAACTATATTTAAGATTATAATTATATCATACACAGTTATTTTTCTAATGACTAAATTGCAATTAGTTACACAGTTATGGGATGATTAATTGCAATTACTTGGTAACAGTAATTGTTAATTTTTATTTAGACTGCATTCTGCCTACCTCTGGATCATGCCAGCTATGGACCCTGGACTATATATGAAGTCCAAGTCTTGTTCTTGGCTTGCAGTGATCCTACAGAAGGTAAGCTAATACAAATTTAACAGTACTTTCACGTATGGTTCAGCTGATGATGTGAAGGGAAGGAATGAAATTAAGCTAACAAAATGCAGAAATTTATTTCTTAGAAATTGAAAAAGTATTATGTAAATGTAATTGATACTGCTTATTTCAGTTTTAGGAGGATTTTCTTTAATGAGAATGCAAATTATTTGTATGGTTTAGTGACTATATATTTGCAGTTGTTCTATAAAAACTACATACAGAATAAAAAATTAAGTACAGTATTAACCATGTGCACTACAAGACTTGCAGTTATATTATTCTATGGATAATAGCAAATGCTGTATAGAGCATAATATTTGTGTGATATGTATAAATATGATATACTTTAATTAACATTTTGAATACAGCAAGACGTTTCCAGCATTAAATAATAATAATACATAAAATATGCTATGCTATAAAGTAAAGCAGAGTGAACTGTACAGCGTGCTTTTCTTTCTCATTCACTTGTATGGCAAAATAACAGATCTTGAGATTTAGCTTATACTCAAAAGACAATGGAGCAGTTAAGAAATACAATATTTGCTTTGTATTGTATTATGCACTGATTTAAGGCATGACAGAAATAATAACCATTCTATTCCCAACATGTGTAGTTGTGGAAACAAAAATAATCAAATGTATTTAGCAATGTATGGGGATGACTTTTAGATGCATTATACTTATACCCATCCAAAAGAGATATAAGCTTAAAAAAATGCATATCTGGTTGGTGAATTGTAATTGGAAATTGTTTACAAAATTCCACACAAATCTTCACCATTCATACAATTATGCATGGAACAGACATGCAAAACTTTTTTATTTGTTGTTGTTGTGAAAAGGTAGTACATGTGAATTTGATTTGCTATATATTTTATTATTCATTTTCACTTACAGTGAAATGTAACTTAAAACAACACTTTTTTTGGCTTGTAATTAATCCTATGTGTTGAATCCATAGATGACAAATCAGAGGATACTTAAGCTTGACTGCATTTTTAATTCATAGGTTTAAATCATGGTTAGTAGATGATAAAGTAAAATGCTAAAAGCTTGTGATACATTTCAGGTTCAGTTATAGCTATTGTATATTGGTGTAACAGTAATTAATATGCAACATATAGATGTAAGATGTATTGCAGTTTATATGTTGTTGATTTGTTAATATCTAAAAAACTGTACTTTTTTAATGAAAAATTTAAATACCATCCATAGCTATTACATAGCTTAACAATTATGAAATGTAATTGTTTATTAATAAAAACATGTATATAGTAATTATAATTCTCAGTTATTTAGACTGCATCAGGATTCATATCAACGGAGTGCAGTTAAAACAAGCTTAACATAACGGATGTTAAAATTTTGTAACTGGGAGTCAAAATCATTGCTAGAATGATTTTTTTCTGTTACTTCATCTAAAAAAGTTTTGTTGAAAATGACCAAAACATTTTAATTAACGTCAAAAGCTGAAAAACAGTTGCCAAAAGCAGAGATGCCTGGAGAAAACTTCTCGAAAAGGCCAGTGCCCACCCTGGGCCAAGAATCTAAAAAGGAACTTAAACACTTATTAAGCCTAAATCTTACTTATTTTGTTTCAGATGCTCTACATAAACAAACACAGTGATAAATTCAACTTAAAAAGTATATCACTGTCAAAAATTGGAATTTTTTTTTCTCTGTATAAATAAGTACATTTATTTAATTCCACCAGACGAGTAGTATAAAATATACATCGACAACAAAAGATTCTTACTCAATGACAATTTCTTTCCACTGAGCCAAATTTTCATGTTTGAAAACAGGAAAAAGTCATTCCAGGGCAAGTTTGCAAAATAGAGTGGATGGGGAATTAAAATCTGTGTTAATTCTGATGGTGCAACAATGAGTTGTAATAAAATGGATTGACTAGAGTGATTTCTAAGGAGGGAGAGAGGGGAAAAAAAAGTGGGGGTCATTTCACAAATGATAATTTGCTCAAAATATTAATCACAAATGATAGATTCACATTTCATTCTTAAACACAAATCTATACAAAATGTCCTACGGATTGTGTTTAAGCATTAGCAAATGTTCTTGAAATTGGGTGTGAAATTTTTTACCTGTGGAATCATATTTAGTGATTAAGAGACTCACTTTCAAAATTTCAACATATGAAAATTTCAGATTAGGGTTTGTGTGATTTCGAGTGCTTTGATTATAACAAAGCACTCGGTGGTTATCAGCCTAAGAAGAGGGATGTCTAAGTAGAAGTTTTTCTAAGGGAAACTGGCTCATATCCAATTTATACATAGAGAAAACCACAAAAATGCCTATGCAACCAGCCTATTTTCCTGAGATCAAACCCAGGTCCAACTACCAGTTAAGACTGGGGACATTCAGCTGGTATTCTGAAAGATTTTTCAGTATTTAAAAACTTGAATCTTTTATCTTCAAATTATTATGCTTTTAGCACATCTATTAAACATTTGTCTCTGTTAGTTTTAAAAATTTCACATTTTCATTTTGTAACTCTGTAGACCCTAAGATATAACATAAAGTGCCTAAGATATAACATAAAGTTTTGAGATTTATTTCATTCCTTTTTATGCTAATTTATTTTTTTGTGCTCTTCACATTATTTAGGTATGCTTGTAACAGGTGATTGTAAAAGCAGAATCCACTTGTGGAAACATTTAGAAGGTGGCACTTGGCATGTTGATCAAAGACCCTACATTGGTCATGCAGCTTCAGTAGAAGATTTAGAATGGTCTCCTATTGATGTGAATGTAAGTATTTTCAGCTATTGCAAATGTATATGAGATTCTTTGGCAAAGAAATTATTTGTGCATAAATTTAAATATTATTTTTTCCCCCACATTATAACTATTTCTTGCACCTGATGTTTCCTTTTGTTCAAATTCAGTTTTCATCACCAGAGGACATATATAGACAGAATTTTGAGAAAAGTCACAAGTTTCTAAAGATTTCATATTTGTAAAATTAGGAAAAAAGGCTTTATATCATTTAACTTTAAATATATTTCATATGCCCCAAATACAGTTTTGAATGTTTGTTAATTATAATTTTGAAGGTTTTAGCATGTGATTTTGTTTATTCTTGGCGCATCTCATTTGTAAACTAAAGCAACTAAAGTAGAATCTCTGTTAACTGTAATGTTTGTTAATAATATCGATATATTACTAATTCTGGATAAGAGACTGGTTCCAGATATTTGAATATAAAATTGAATATATTGATTCCAGATAATTGAATATATATTCCTAGAATTTCCCTGTTCACGTTTTGTGATGTGATTTGTAGAAATCGCAGCATGCAAGGTAGATTGATAATTTTTCGGTCTACCAGCTGCTATTAAATGAATAAATAACATAAAATATCAGTGATATCTTTATGATTCATAATTTAAATTCAGATTATTTAAAATTAAAAGACATACCTATGATTTTTATGTTTCAGAAAAGCAGAAACATTTCAAAATTACCAACATGGAAACTATACATTTCTTATTGTGAGAGAATATAATGTCAAATATCTGCCTTCTTATGAGATTGTCACCCTAGCTTTAAAAATTTGCTGCGTATATAAAAGCTTCATAACATCATGTATGGACACAGATGAACGTTTCTCGGCAGAATGTATTGAAAGTCTGTAATACTTTATCAGCTTCCTTCCACATAACTCTTGTACTGTGTATATTGTCTTCTTTCCCAGTTGAGTCTCCAATTATTTTGTCATCATCATGAGATAGTATGATAAGAAGAGAGTTACCTGCATTTATCCAGGCCTACACCTCCTCTGCACTAACACTAATCTTCTCTGAACATGTGACTAAATTCAAGATGTTGGCCCAAATGGCACACTTTATACCAACAACACAGTAGTATTATTAACTTCTTTCCAAGCAAGAGACGAAGTAAATGTGATATCTTTCAATGCAATTTGTTCTGAAAATCATGGCCACTACCTTCAAAGTTTACACTGTAGGATAAAGTTTGTTACATTAGGTAGCAGAAAAATATTTTCCACATTTAAGTCTTCAAATTGTTACCCATTAGATATTTATCTCATAATTCTAAATTTCAGATTTAAATTTAGACCTTCAAATATGATGTTATTTTGATATTACCAATTAACTGGATGCCGGTTATGAGAGATTTTACTGTATTTATATTTTTCCTCTGTATATTTGCTTTTAGTAATTAAGCAAAGGATTAATTAAAAGCATTATTTGCAAAGCAATTAGAGCTATAATAAATTTTGGGGAAGCAGTAAAAATGTACATACATGTCAGCACAACCACTGCAGAAAAAATTGCCAGATCTTCAGAATATGCCAAAATCTGGCAACCATGGATGTAACAATGGTTCAGTTTTAACAAGTAGGATAATTATGTATGTTCTTTTTGTTGCATTTCGTGCTCCAATAGTTTTATAGATAAGTCGTAGTTTTAGTTTTAAAATAATGTTTAAAATATGTGCTATTGGGATTTATTTGTAATGGAAGAAACAAAAGTCAAATTTCTTCAAAAATACAGTTTTTTGGCGTAAAATCACTAAAGGGAACAACAGCTTTGAATTTATTCTTAAACTGAATGCCAGAAAATTTATTATTACTGTTTTTGACCATGGAGTGCAACTTACTGCCATACATGAACATTGGCACAAAATCTAGCTAGGTGGCAGTAAACCTAATACATAAAGCTTCATGGAAATGATAAATATTTTATGTAGCAAAAACAGATTGCTGTGTACATAGGATTGGTTTGGTTTGGTTTATTTAATTATGGCAAAGCACACTAGGGCTATCTGCCTAAGGGAAGGGATGCCTTGATGGAGGATTTTTAAGGGAAACTGGCTCATATACACGTTACACATGGAAAAAAAAAGAAAACGCCCATGCAGCCAGCTCGTTTGCGGGATTCGAACCTCGGACCAAACTACCAGTGTTCAGCGACTTTACCGCTCGGCTGCTGGTGGGCCCTGTGTACATAGGAAGAATGTTACTGTTGTTCTGTCTGTGTACACCGGGATATATGTATGCTTAAAAAAATCAAAGAATTGCACAAATTTGCCATTTCACATATTAAACATTATATGTATATTATCATTCTGCTGCTGTTTCTGATGCAAATTAAATAGGTGCTTTGGCACACACTTGGCGATCGGAGCCCCATTAACTGAAAATTATCCAGATTTCTCCTGGAACAAAATCAAAAATCCACTTGTAATTAGGTTTATTGATTGATTTTAAAGGATAAATATTTAAAATGTAAAATATGTATGCATGTAGAAAGCTAATATTTATGGTTATAAGTTATAAATCATTATTCTTGGTTTTTGCAACAAAATTGCCAATTGCGCCAATATGGATGTAAAGTACCAAAAAAAAATTAATGTAATTTCGTAGCTATTTCAGCAAAATATCTTTGGAATAGGGAGTTGGTAATTTAGATTTAACATTTATCTGTATTGTTTTACATGTGCTTGATAAGTAGGGCATAATATGAATTTAACTTATCAATAAACTGGAAAGGGACGAGAAAGTGGCTTTGACTGCTGTACTGAAGGGCCCAGGTTGAAATCCCGGAGGAGGCATGAATGTAAACTGTGTGTCCTTTCATAGGATGCAACAGTGGCCTGCCTGTTAGATGCCTCCATAATAAAGTGACCACTGCTTCCAGCCTTAGTAATGGCCAATGCCTAAAGCGGCTAGAGCTTGGCATTGGAGGGGTAAAAAAGCTGAATAGGTCATTGAAAGAATGCTAGATCTCTCCCATGAACCCATATCTGACGACAATTTGCCTGTGAGCTCATTTAAAGGTCTTGCTAGATGCTGAGAAATTTACTTGTTTATAGTACATGCAGGTAAGAATCGTTACATTTGCTATGCTAAATTGATGCTGTGGAGAGTTAGTGCATGATACTAATGTGGTAACATTGACTAAATGCATAAGTTTTGAATATGGAGAATCATTTTCATGACTTTTATGGATTACAAAATTTTCTGTTAGTTTTGCATTTCAAAATTTCAGTTTTTGTTTTATACACAACTAGATACATTATATTATGTATCTAATATCCATAAATATTTATTCTTTTAAATTTAAAGGAATGAATATAGTAGTTTATTTAATTTAAATATGGTAATTTTTCTTTTATATCCTTCCTTTTTGTAGCAGACAGCTTTTTTGAGCTTGAGAAAATGCCTTTAATGGGAGAGAGGAAATAGTAACAAATACCTTTTGGCATTCTATTCATTGTTTCATTCACACAATAATTGTGTAGTATATACAGAATTTATTTAATATATATATGTGTTTATATATATAATAAATTTCTAATAATAAATTAAAAATAGTTCTTCAAATCCTCTTTTAAATTTGAGCATGCTTCCCTCTTGATTTGAAAAGTAGTAAAGCAACAACTTTTCTAATACAATCTTTACTTCCTGTAATTCTGAAAAGTGATCCATCATCTGATCTGTATTGTACAGTTATTTCTGGAATGCAATGAAATCTTAACCCAGCATCCCAATATTAATCTGTTATGTATCTAAAATTTAATATGTTTAATGTAAACATTCTTGTAATGTGATCTGTTTAATGTAATCATGCCTTGGTATAAAAGGTCTCTGCTGCTAAAAAAAAAAAAAAAAAAAAAAAAAAAAAAAAAAAAATTCAATCCTTTCAAAGACCCTTTGGATAATCCTTAATGAAGCCTAGTATGTCTGTAGGGATATAATTCATTTGGACATCAACATTAAATCCATAGATGTTATTATTTGTTTCTCAAAATTGAACAGATTGATAATCATGCATTACAATAACTTTCTGCATATGACCCTGCTATTTACACTTCCCAAAATAGACCTCATGTCATCATTGGCTGAGACTTATGGCATTGTTATCAATCGCATTGTTATCTTAAGAATCACATCTTGCAAACAGAGTTTATTTAGAGAGATATTTCCAGATGTTCCCATTACTTTATTGCACTATGATTTAGTGCCATTGACCAAGGACCTTATTAATCATTAATCGCTTTCCTATCCGTCTTTCACTTTAGTGTTGTACTGTGTATTAAAAAATTATAAAAATACCAAAGAATAAAAAAAATTATAAAATGCAAAAAAATTATTTAAAAAAAATTTAAAGCTTATGATTTTAGTGATTTTTCCTACACCTAATCTTTTTCGAGCCACGTGGCTTTCTCTAGCTTTTTCCTTTTTAACTATTATTTAATTTTCCTATTTTTGCTCTCTATCTAGTATATTCTGATGCGGAAGTAAATAGTTTTGAACCATAGGTCTTGCTCTCTTTGATCGCCTCTCTTTGCTCTTTTCCACTTTGCTGTAGCAACATGTTGCTGCATGCTGCCTTTAAAAAATATATTTTTCAAATTTATCAGATTCTTCATCAGATCTTATAAATTTTCATATCAGATCTTATAAACTTCTGCTCCATTATTATTAAGTTAATAATTACATAGCAAGCACTAAATAAAAAAAAATTCTTATTATATTGATAAATGAATTTCGGCTCTGAAATTAATTTAAAATATAGCACTATTTTATTTCCTGTTCCTTTTTTTTTCCTCTTTTTTTTTTCTTTCTTTGTAGTCCCAAGGGGCAATTTGCCCAGAAGGACTATTAATTTCGTTTTGGCATTTTGCATTGATTCATTACAAGCGTTGTTTCACTTTTTGAATTGTTGCCATCAAATATTATCACCCTGTATTATATTTAAAGAAATTAAATAATGAAGAATCTGCATAAATGTATCATGTTTATCGCATTGTGATAAAACAACGGTACCTAGAGCCATACAATTTTGAATAAGTTGTCCTTTACTAGAATATGGGCATCTGGAAGCCCGAATTTGAAATTTGTTTCATTATCTATTTCATATTTTGTTAAAACTTTAACGAGTTTTTAATTATTTGTAATTATTAATTTTTAATTATTTGTTATTATTATTTTTTAATTATTTTTTATTGAATTATTTGTATGAATTAGAAATAGAGTTTTTGATTAACAAACTCTAGCATTGTGAGAATGGCAATGTTGTATAGAAAAACATTTTATCCCCAGTGTATGAGACTGTGTATCGGAAATTCTAAAGATATGCTCATTTTAAAATTATTTTGCAATATTGCTCTTGAACTGAATTTTACGGTTTAAGTTTGAAGAATGATATTTAATAAATAAAGGTAACACACAAAATGTAAAAATTGCCCCTTTGGAAGAAATTTAAATTCTGGACCTTTCAGATTTTATTTATTTAATTATTTATTTTGTTAATAACTGTTAATTTCTTAAACCTTTGTCTAGGTTATGGCATCATGTTCGGTTGATAAAACTGTCAGGATATGGGACATCAGAGCCCTCAGTAACAAAGCTTGTATGTTAACACGGCATAATGCTCATGACAGTGATGTAAATGTTATCAGCTGGGACAAAACAGGAAATTTTATTCTTTCTGGTGGAGATGATGGAAAACTCAGAGTGTGGGATCTACGCATGTTTCCTGTAAGCATACTGAGAATCTAATTTTAAATAATTTCCCATTCTGATAATAGAGTTTTACTGTAGTGTAAAGGAAGTTTTTGCTGATGAGTAATTTTGGTGTTTTTATGTATTGATGTGAACAGATGATTTGATGTTAATGTGTATTTTTTTATTGTCGTGTCTTTGTGTTTGTTTATTATAGCTTATTCTATTGTAATTTTGTGTATATTTCTTGCATTTCTCCCTATAATTTTTCATTTATTAGTAATGTATTTCGTGTTTAACTGGTTATTCTTTTTAATAAAATTCTGTAAAAATACACAATAGGTTTATACAGATAATAAGTAGAACTTGAGGTATAGTCTGTTAAAAATCTATCAGGTTTGGCAATTTTGTGCTAATTTGGCACTTTTTAGAAAGTGTGTTTTTGAGAATATAAAACCCATTTTAATAATGCCCTACTTTGGTCCTTGCTTCCCTACTTTGGTAAAATTGTAAATAGAAGTGTTAGAATTAGGTGAGACTCTTGATCTTCAACTCAAAAGTCTGTTTTCAGCATTGATTTTGCAATTTATTATATTTTTTACTTGTTTCTCTTCATCTGATGGAAGCAAGTATTTAATAAATAAATTTTTTATATTAATGCAGATTATTTAGAGTTTTTCAAAGTTTTTCATGCTTTAGTAAGCATTATTCACTGCAGTTAAAGGTTATATGCTTAAAATGAGTTTAACGAAAATTCTAAATAAGTTTTGATTTTATATTTATAAGTTGTTTCACTGTGTCTGTTATTTAAAAACATGATATATTTTTTAACAGGAAGGAGATCCGATATGCACCTTTAAATATCATACAGCTCCCATCACCAGTGTTGAATGGCATCCGACAGATCATTCAGTCTTTGCTGCTTCTGGAGCTGATGACCAGTTGACACAATGGGATCTTGCTGTAGAAAGAGATGATATACAGGAAGAAGAGAAAGAATTAAGTCCTGAAATTTTAGCATTGCCACCTCAGTTGCTGTTCATGCACCAAGGCCAAAAAGAAATCAAAGAATTGCACTGGCATAAACAGATGCCTGGTGTCTTAATTTCCACTGCCCTGAATGGTTTTGATGTATTTCGAACACTGAGTGTATAAAAGAAGGTTAAGAAATCTATAATGACCTTTTTATTAAGAAAAGAATCCTCCAGAGTAATAAAAAATTGACTGGGGTGGTTTTGGAAAGTAAGACATAAAGTTAAAAAATAGAATAAATATTTTATTACACTGTTTTCTTTAGTGCTTTCATAAGGTATTACATTTAAAATGTTCGATACATACACTCACATATATATGTAAATCAAGGGATGTGCACAGCAATAAAAAATTTAACTGAAAGTATTATTAATTTCAAAATAAAATTGGTTATAGATTTTATGTGCAATGGATGAACTATCAGAATTAATTCTAACTAATTTGCTCACAACTGGCCGAGTAATTAAAACTGTAACATAGTTCATCTCAATTTTTTTCCCTTAGTAGTTGAAGGGGTGGTTGCATAGAACACATGTATATGTGTGAACATAAATGAAAATTCTTTACTACTGATAAATTGCATAAATTAAACTCTAAACTCAGTGGCGCAACAGCCCTAGTGGGCCACGGCTTGCAGTGCCCCGAAATCTGCTTTAGTAGTTGAAGGGTGGTTGCATAGAATTCTTACACACGTGTTTATGTGGGTGTAACATAAATGAAAGCCAGTTTTCCTTACAAAATTCTACTCAAGGGCACTCCTTTTAAAGCATAAAAAATTCCCCCCCCTCTATACTAGTGATATATTACATAAACTAAATTCTAAACTCAGTGGCGCAACAGTCCTAGTGGGCCACGGCTTGCAGTGCCCCAAAATCTGTTTTCTTGACCTTGGGCCCCAGGGTGCATTAGCATATGCCCTGGGCAAGTAGTTAGCTTGTCGCAGGACCCCCGTTGTTTAGTCCTCAAGTGAACTTGGTACTCATTTTATCGACCCACTCAAGGGATGAAAGGCTCAGTTAACTTTACTCAGGAATTGAACCCCGGATGATATGTTACATAAATAAATTAAATATCACTTGCAAAAGTTTTCCTTTGCTGCATATATCTATATAATATGTTCATTTTGTGAGTTATTGCTGTGAATGAGAAATGCATGTTTGTTGTTCTGCTCTTACTTTATTGGTAAACATTGGCAGTAATAAAATCATTTGTTAAATTTCATAAGTACTGTACATGAATGAGTATTCCATTAGCCTTTAGATGTTTCAATAAGGGTGAGAATTATTTGTATGAATTAGAAATAGAATAATTCAGTGTCCAAGTTGCAAAATAGCTCAAGGTCCGAATCTTATAGTTTGTAGAAATAGTTTCAGGAGCCTATACCATATCAAAATGGCATGAGGCAAGGGTGTCTTAAGTGCCACAATATCCAGTGAAGGTTGTTATTTGGCATTTTAAGCTAAATGCCAGTGGACTTTTACAGTTTCACATTGTTTTTTGCTGCCACTGGAACCATAGTTTTGAGAGTTACTGAATTTTGAAGATTTCATGAGAGAGGCCTTTTTGCTAAAAAAATTGCTATTTACATCCTGCTCACTTCCTCATGCAAGGAAGTGTACCTGGTATGGTACAGAGAATATCAGCCTTAGACTGAACTTTAGTGGTCCCAGTTCTTTGTAGTGATGAATCAAGATTCACCCTATACAGTGATTTTTGATATACCTTCGTTGGATAGAATCAGAGATCCAGTATCATTCCTGGTATTCAGAAGTTAAATCAAGAAGAGGCATCACTATGGCAGCAAAGGTATGTTTTTGGACAGGCGTCATATTGTGTGGCTGCACACCAATTCATGTGTTTGACGGAAGTTCCTTGATTGCTCAGAGAAAGGAATATCAGAGTCTTATGTGTAATTATTTCTCTGTTCCCCTTCATAGCGCCTATCTCATTAATAGCATGTGAACTCTGTACATAGTATATGGTTCTTAATAAGTCTTCAATAACCTCATTTTAGGCACCATCTTGCAACACCAGGTTGGCAGGTTCATTTTAATCAACTTAAAGATGATACCTTCATGCCAGACGCAGTCAAAAGTTTTGGCCACGTCAAGCATGAGGATTGCTATACTTTGTTATGTAAAGAGACACCCACAAATTTGCAAATTCTGATGAGCTGTTTAGTTGTAGATAGTGCTTCCACTACACAGTAACCAGATTCTAACTATACATTAGCCCACTACACAGTAACCCCATCTTCTAGTTTTCATCTTTTTCTTCTAATAACTTTTCTTCCTTTTTAGTCCTCCTCTATTAATATTAAACTTTTAAACCTCAGCAGCTTTATTCTTCTTCTATCCTTCCCTCCTCAAATAACCTCACTCATAGCCTCTAAATTTACCAAATCTCTGCCACGCAGAATCTTGACCTCATGGGGGTTTACATTTTCTTTAGTCGGTTAGTGTTCGGGAGCTATACGTGTTTGATCTTTAATGAAGTTTCTGGTGCTCCCAACACTTTTACTTGTACCTGTAGATAGTTCTTTTTGAAATATTGGAAGTTGCTAATTTCTGTAGAGAGGGCTTTATTTTATTGTAGATAATGCATTCCAGCAATTTTACGAGTGAAGACGGCTATGAGTCTGTAACTGCTTGGAGAATCAGCGTATTTCCAGTGGCTTGAGAATCATAAAAATAGAAGCTTGTTTATATGTATCGGAAAAGCAGTTCCAAATGCAACCGCTGAAAATGTTACTGAGTGCAGCAATATAGGTTTGTGGAGGTTGCTTAAGCACTTAAGCATTTTATTATGGTGATACCATCTAAGCCTGGTGATTTTCTGGGTGAAGAACATTTGATAATTTGATAAGTCATTGATTTCAACCAGAGAGGTAAACTGTATGATATTCATCGGAGAGGGAGAGGAAATCCAATCAGTCATGAAGTTCGTAATTTCTTGATCCGAAGCATTGTTAGCAAGAAACACGTTCGGCTTGAACTGATTTTCAAGAAAGTTGGCAAAAAGCTCTATTTTTTCTTCATCAGTTCAAGCAGTAGTATTCTCGTTTCTGATTGGCTGACAGAAATGTTTGGTCATCTTCACACTTCTGATGTAATTCCAAAAGGAACCATCATCTATATTAAACTGATTGACTCTACATTGCCACAGTTGGAAGTGCTCGCTGATAAGAGACTTAATTTTTCGATTTAACTGATTAATTCTGATTTTCACATAAGGATCCCAGGTGTGATTGAAGTTTTTACAAAAGCGGTTCCATTCCTTAATAACATTTCTGGTGTACCAGGGAAGCTGGCGGTGATATTGATAAGATTTTATGGTAGTGGTAGAGTTATCCAGAAAATCTGGAGACTTTTGGTGAGGCAATGGATTTTAAAGTCAGTATTATCCTTTGAACTGAGTTTAGTGATATTAGAAGGGGATATACCGGCAAGGTTGCAGAACAACTTCTAGTCCATAATTTCTTGTCAGGGAGGTGTTTTAAAATGTTGGCTCCTAATTGGACAATCACAGGCACATGATTAAATGAAAAATCATCGTTACGTTGAATGACATCAAGATGTTGATACTGCTTATAAAAAAGTCTAGGATATCGTGTCTGTAGTTCAACATATTTGACCTGTAGGTGCTGGTGTCAGGAATGTGCAGGTATATTGGACAATTAAGAATGTAATCCTGAATAACGTGTCAGTTAATGTTGGTGCAGTAACCACCCATTCCACATGTTTTCTGTTAAAGTCTCTTCCAATATAGTTTGGGTAACGGTTATTGAGTAGTTCGCTTAGATCAGAGTCCGATAAACGATATCCGGCGGGTTGTAGATGACACAAAAAGTGATGTTTTCGTATTTCAGCAAGCACACACGGAGTTTCACAACTTCGTATCCTTTCTGATTATCAGCAGGGATGAGGTAGTTAAGTGTGTTTGTGATTATGGCAAAGCCTCGGGGGCTATCTGCCTAAGAGGAGGGATGCCTTCGTGGAGGACTTTGTAAGGGAAACTGGCTCGTATACACGTTACACATGTGGAAAACCACGAAAACGCCCATGCAGCCAGCCCGTTCGCAGGATTCGAACCTCGGACCGAACTACCAGTGTTCAGCGACTTTACCGCTCGGCCGCTGGTGGGCCTTGAGGTAGTTAAGAGACTGTCATATGTAAATGACAACTCCGTCTCTCCACTTCCTCTGTTTCGAAGCCTATTACATATATTGAAGTTGGAAATCCTTAAGTTATGCTGAGGTGTATGTGTTGCAGTGATCATAGCTATATTTACATTGTGATTAACCACAAAATAGTAGAATTCTGCAAGTTTTGTGGTGAGGTTACAGGTGTTTCATACCAGAATCGTGCTGGTAGAAAAGTCTAGAAGGGTTATCCGTTCTGAGAGAAAGGGCTGGCGGTTGCATTGGGTTTATTGTTATTAGGTGCGAGATTTTGAACTAAATTATGTATGCCCAAGCCTTTGAGCAGGGCTACGAGGGAGATAAGTGCTCCTAATACTTGCTTGGTTTCAGAGATCTAACTCACAATGGCAGCCTTCTGTCTGTGATAGGGATCTGCGCTGGAATTTGTAATGACTCAGCTTAAGTGCGGGCATCAGGGCGGTTACTTCCCGAATGTTTGGGATAAAAAGCACATCCATGATAACTGGCCATGTGAGGGCTCTGCCAGTTATCACATCAGTGTATCATCCCGAAGCTTAGAACAGTCCCTGGATTCATGATTTATTCCGCACTTGAACACACTGTGGGGGAACCGACAATTAGCTCATGCATGATGAAAGGACTGGCAATGGAAGCATTGGGGTAGTCTGTGCCATCCTTTGTATGTTTCCACAGTAATTTTCACATACATTAAAGTATTTCAGGTTATGTATGTAATAGGCCTTATCTGTTTTCCGTAGAGTGACGAGAAAGAATGGGCATTTTAATGACCTTTGGTACTTTCCTTCTGGTAAGCTGATCGATTTCAAGGACAGATATCCAAGTTCCAATAGCCTATATGCGATGTCACTGATGTTGGTTCATGAAGGTTAATTTCTAATTACTACCGTCACTTTTTTGTCATCAGGTAGAACATAAGTGTGATACGGAATCTCCTTAGAGTTTAGGAGAGCCTTGATCTTGCGATTGAATGCCCGTTTTGAAGGCTTTGATTTCTAATTCCTGGTCGGCCTTGAATCTGGCACGGAAATCAGTAAATTTGGAGTTCTCTAACAAGTCTGTTGATTGTTTCCAGGTTATATT